CCGGGACAGCGTTGGAAGGGCCCACGTGACAACTTAAAAGGTCACGCGAGTGGGTCGGATGGGTGTAACACCGAAAGGAGGCTCCACTTGAAGGACCCACGTGATAACTTAAAATGTCACGTGGGTCGGGGTATGGGGACTCTTCTTGGGTTGCTGATAGACGATGTTAATGGTCTATCATCGTCCCAAGTTGCGAGAAAGGGGGGGGAATGCGCGCAGCGGCGGAAAATGGAGAAGAAGCTGGATTTGCAGTGGGTTTCCCAACGAAGTCTGGAGAAGCTTAGCCCCATGCGACGCTCCTCAGAGAGGCCGAATCCAAGATACGCTAGGGAAAGAACTGAAGAGAGGGAAGAGAAGGATGAAGTTTGGGTGCAGTGCAGTGAAGGAGATGAAGAATCGGAGGACTTTTCTGTTGATGGTACTAGCGTGGGCAGTGTAAACGACGAAGGTAGTTGTGCTAGAGGTGACATGGATGGGTGGAATATTGCAAGCTTATTTCAGGGTGAAGATTGCAATCGGTTTAACTCATTCCCAAGACTACAGAGTGTGCAACGATTATCAGAAGGGGCAGACCGGGAGAACCGGAAGTAGAGCAGGAACACACCATCTAGGGCTGAACCAGGGGTAGAGTGGAAAGATCACCAGGATGACCAAAGGACAGAAGTACTTCCCAACCAACTCAGAGAGATAGATGGTTACCAACCTCTGGAACAAGAGAGGGAGGCCGAGAGCAGTCCTTTTCTAGCTTGTCCATCAGTCCCAAGTAACCAAGTGATTTCGGTTTGTGCTACTAATGTGTCTCCTGTGTCTTTGGTTCCAGATTCCATTTCTGTTCCAAGTCCTGTAGCCCATGAATATGCAGCCAAGCTAGTAGGCGGGCTCTCCGAGGAGGGGGAGAGGGGAAGGAAGGAAAGTGGGAAGGTGCGGAAAGGAAGGTATAGGAGTGAAAAAGTGTGGGAAATCATTGAAAGAGTGTTTAAGGAAGTGGAAGGAAAGTTGATCTGGAGGAGGGAAGGGGAGGAAAGAAGAGGGGAGGGGTTAGTGGAGAGGAGGGAAAGGAATGAGGGTAGAGATGGAGAGGATTACGGGGAGAGAACAGGGAAGGAGGGAGGTAATAGGAGAGGGAGGATGGATGGAGAGGAACAGAGGTGGGACCAGAGGAGAGGAAGAAAGGGCAGGTGGACAGAGATGGAGGGGATTCTGTAGGAAGGGTAGGGGTGGAGGACTTGGTGAGAGAAGACATGATAGCAAAATTTGTTGGGAAGTTGGGTTGTAGGTTGGAAGATTTGAATGTGTTGAAAAAAAGCTTACAGAAGAGGAAGAAGGAGATCAGAAAAAAGAAGAGGAGATTGAGTGAAGTAGAGAGATTGAAGAGAGATGTAGAAGGAGACAAGAAGCTCGGGGTAAAAGGGGATAGAAGAAAAGGGGGAAAGTAGCGGGTAGGTGGCAAGGGGTTTAAAAAAGAAGCGGAATGAAGATTCTTAGTTGGAATGTGAGGGGAGTTGGGAGTGCAAGGAAGAGAGCGACAATAAAAGAAGTAATAAGACGGTATGACCCAAACATTGTGTTGTTGCAAGAGTCTAAGAGAATGGAGTTTAATAACAAATGGGCAAGGAGGCTATGGAAAGCCAGGGGGATTAGCTGGGTGGCTGCTCCCTCGTGGGGTGCTTCCGGGGGGATTGTAACAATGTGGTTGAAGGTTTGGAGGAGTTGATCGGAAAGTACTCGGTTTCCATGAAGTTTAAGCAGCAAGAGGATGATTATATGTGGGTGCTCACAAATGTTTACGGACCGAATGACTACAGAGAGAGGAAGGAGTTGTGGGAGGAATTG